AGTCTTGTGCTTTAGACAGAGATCAATTTCCTGGGACATCTGCACCATCCTAACCTTGTGAAATTGATTGGCTACTGCTTAGAGGATGACCATCGACTTTTGGTATATGAGTTTTTGACCAAAGGCAGCTTGGATAATCATTTATTTCGAAGTGAGTGGTTAATTTTCCTTCGATTACTGCCATTTTAAGTTTATGTGGGGTGACACTATTTAGTACCTTAAAGGCTCAGACTTTCAACTATGTTTATATTTGGAACAGGGACATCTCATGTTGAACCACTTTCTTGGAGCAACCGCTTGAAAATTGCCCTTGATGCCGCAAAGGGTCTTGCATTTCTTCATAGTGACAGAGTAAAAGTGATATATCGAGACCTAAAAGCTTCTAATATCTTGCTTGATTCAGTATGTGAATTCCCCTGAACTTATAAGATTAGAAGTAGTTAGCTGGATTTACTATTCTAACATCCCGTTTTTGTTCTCATTAGAACTTCAATGCAAAGCTATCTGATTTTGGATTGGCCAAGGATGGACCATCAGGTGATCGGAGCCATGTCTCTACAAGGGTCATGGGCACATATGGCTATGCTGCTCCTGAGTATATGGCCACAGGTATCTTTCATATTGATGATTAGTTTTTACATTATGATCACCTTAGATGGTCTATCCTGTTGTGTGCATGCAATCCTGTCTCCGTAGTTGTTGTTCTTCATTTGATATGTAGCATTTCATTTCACATGACAACCTTCATCAATTGTGCATCACCTTTGTCAGCTTCTCATTTCCTTCCTACTGCAGAACACATTCTTCCTACTTCCAGTATTGGAGCAGTTTCTCTTCTCCTTTGGAAGTTAAATAATTCACTGGATGCCGAAAAGGTTGATGCATCTCCCAATAACATCTACGATCAATTATGATGCCAACTCTTTGTTTGAGGCCTTTATCCGTGAATTGGCCGCCAAGGATTGACTTGGTTACATAATTTCCTGGGAAATATGATGTTGAGTCCGGGACTTGTGTTGGCCATCAAGGGACCTCGTAAAAGCTAGGTTAGACCAGGAGAGATAGATGGGGGTGAGAGCAGGAGGTAGAATTTTAGTATTCATGTGGGTGTTCCTTGCCCCCGATTACTGCAGACATTTTTCTTTAACCTATCCGCATAATTAGGCAGCCGTCCATGTGAACTGTAACTGGATCCATTTTTCATAGGCTTTATGGTACAAATAAAATAAAGAAAGTGAACCATCTAGTCTTAAACACATGAAAACATTTCCCTCGCCTTTTTTGCAATATAGCACTGATCAAGTTCTCGTCAATATCTTTGCTGAAAGAAATCCAGAGCATCCCTGAAGTGTGATGTACCATAACTATGCGATTTCATTGTCACAAATGCAGTTTGTAGGCTATGTAGTCTGTTTCAACTAGTTATATTTTGCGGTCGTACTGGTTTTGCTTTGAATTGTTACATTTTGAGAACCCGTTTTCTAAGCTCTATGCTGCTGCTTCCTAGTTCACTTCACTTTATTAAGAGCTCCTTTATGCATTGGCTTTCACTTAATAATTCGGCTTGTAATCTCTGCCCACACTTTCACTGCTAATCCTTCTCCATTGTCTTTCTCTGAAGGTCACCTGACAAAGAAGAGTGATGTATACACTTTCGGGGTTGTTCTGCTTGAAATCATGTCAGGCAAACGTGCGTTGGACAGAAACAGGCCATCCAGGGAACAGAATTTAGTTGAATGGGCCAAGCCGTACCTTTCGAGCAAGCGCCGGATTTTCCAAGTTATGGATGCTCGTATCGAAGGCCAGTACCTGGTACGTGAAGCCATGAAAGTAGCGAAAATCGCAATCCAATGCCTGTCTGTAGAGCCCCGGTTCAGACCGACCATGGCTGATGTGGTCAGAGCATTGGAGCAGCTTCTGGATACCAGTGATACTGGTGGCCCAAGCAGCAGCAGTACTAATAATGTTCCTAAACAGCACAAGAGAAGTACGAGTGAATCTTTAAATGGGGTTGACACTTCTAAACCCACATCATCTGCATCTCATTCCACATAAACGGAGGTAAATTGATTGGATTGAACTCATACTTAGCTCCTTTTTTAATCGGCTTCAAAGAAATAGAGTTGGCCCATTGTATATCTCTGAACTTGAGCGTGTCTTTTTCAAGACAGGTGATTGCTGTACAGCTTTTTGATTCTCTCTATTATTAAGGTGGGAATCAGGGGACCCTGCTAGCGGGTTTAAAAAAGCTAGCTCTATAGGGCGGAAATTTTAGAAATATCCTAATTTATCAGTCCGATTCTTAAGTTAACGGGCTCAAAGTCAGTCCGCGGGCTTTCAGCCCATTTAAAGGGGGAAAAATGCTATTTTTAATAATTCTCATTTTTTTTTATCAAAAAATGAAAATAAACCAATGAAATTATTAATAAAAGACACAAATATGAATAAAATTAAGTTACAAATACAAAATATCATCATATATAAATATGTATTAATATCCAAAAACATCTAAAACATTCATTAAGAAGATAACATCTAAAAGTTTTATTTATAGTATAAATGTGCAATAAACGAATGTTATCATTAATATTTGAAACTTTATTATCATTATAATCAATTACTCTTTTTCGTGAGTATGCTTTTCTTTCGTAATGAAAACATCAAGTTTTTTTTTTATCGAAATTTTACTTTTAAATTTTGCAATCTAATTATTATTTCATTTTAGTTTGAGAAATATTGTTGTTGAAATTTATAAATTTCTAATTCAAATTGGAGAATCACAAGTTATATAAGTATAAAAATACTCTCTTATCAAATATATGGAGTTTAAAAATATCAATGCATATAATATAAATCAAATCATTATTAAAGTCCAAACTAACTCATTTTTTAAAAATTTAATTGGATAAATTATTATCTAAAACTAAATAAATCAAATCATTTTGTGAAATTTAATTTTAAAATGATAATAATAACTAAATATTTAAAATATCATTAACAATAAAAAAAATTAATAATATTAGAATTACATAAAAAATTTAAAAAAAACAAAAAAAATTATAAAAAGGCCAAAACAAGTCGGGACTGAGGCCCGTTTAAACCCTCAGCCCTATAGGACTAGCCCTGTAGGGCCTGTTTCTCATTTGAGAGGGAAAATTTAAAGCCCGGTTCTTGTAATTTTCAGGTCTAAACGGGTTCGGCTCGTTTTTCCGGCTCTAATTATTATATCCTAAATTCCTTTGTCTTCCTTGACGCCAAAAAAAAAAAAACCTTTGTCTTCCTCCAGCATTCGATTTCCTCGTTCATAGGCATGAAGGCCACCTGACTCTGATATGAGATGGGGATTGCTGTTCAGCTTTTTATATTCATACTAACAGAAAATTAAACCTCTTTTTGTGCAAATTCATTAACAAAATAATTATTATAATTTAGTTACGAAATAATTATCTTCAAAAAAGAGACTCAAATTCTATGGGTTTGTTGTCATTATAGTACGCGGTGCTGAGTTTGCTGGGTTATGAGCTGCGGTGTTTTTTTGGATTTGGCCTCATATATAAAATCATCCTTATATAAGAACTAGATGATCGATTTAAATAGATTAAGAAAATTAGTTTAATTAGTTATTTGTAATAAATATGTTGTTTTCTTTAAAATATTCTTACTAATAATTAGAACTATTATTTCATGAAACCTTTAATATGTGTAATTACTACAAGGACTATTTTAACAAAATAAATAAATAAAAATGAAAGACAGAACAAATTTGGGTTTTATATTTAAAATCAAAATGAATGTCAAACTAACTCTTGTATTAAGAACTAGAGATATAGTATTATTCACTCTTCGGCATTGTTAACTACCTTAATAGAAAGAAGCAGTTTATTAATTGATATTCCTAGGTTTCCTTTTAAAGAAATTGCCCCCATTTTTAATTACAATTGATACTCTTAATATCTAGTGCCAATCATTGATAACTTGCAAACTTTGACACCCTTCCCTCCCGTTTTCAGTTTTATTCACAAGACATTTTCAACTGTTGTTATTAACCCAGTAACTGTTACATTCTGAACTTCATCCACACATCGTAAAGTGTATAACCGATGAGCTTGAACATCAGTCACATGTACACCTTCATTTAAGTTGATATGAAAAGAAACATCATTAAAAGAAGACCTTCAATCTCAGTTTGACTTGAATTTCTAGAGATAGGTCTAAACATGCATAAGCTGATCAACCTGCTGCTGAAAATACTCGATCAGTCCCTCTCTAATGAACATCAACTTTTCGGATCATGAACATCAATCTGATTATCAGTAATATTAATAGAGTCCTCTTGACTGTTGAGTATAAAATAGAAATGAAAACCACCATCTTCTGTGATACGCTTCCTATCTTCTGGCTTTTTGAACTTATTAAAAGGGAGAAATGGTTGGACTGTAATTACCCACCACAAGTCACCAAACAGGTCCTGTCATGCTGCATGCATGCAAAGCCTTACGAGCCCCTTCGGTGAGCATCTTCTTAGCATGACGTAAAATGAAAACCAGTGCATGATACGAAAATTTTACTTTGGTTAAATCTCAAATCAATTCCTTGACGAGGATGCCTACGGGGATCTCGAACAGTGTTCTCCATCAATTCAAGCAGATGAAACTTATGCAAGAAGAAAACTTTGATGGAAGAAACCAACGATTGCAATTCAAACGAGAGAAGAACTTTCTAACTTCTCCATTAAAGAAACAAACAGAGCAAATGAGTTGTTGGAATGGACAAACGAAAGGATCCTGAGAAGAGGTATCAGCGTTGAGAAAGGTGGCCTTCTCGCCGGCGCGTGAAAATAAAAGTAGATTCCGGCGAGATGGGTGCCATTGCAAGGGTCGGACATCGAAGCTCCGGTCGGCCGACGCTAGGTCAACGGCTGCTGAAATTTGCCTTTCTCAATGGTCCAAACTTGTGATCTTTCCTCGCAATTCCATTATCTTCCCTCGTTCAAACCTTTACTTTACCCATTCAACTAGTGGAATTATTTTTGTGTATTCAATAATTACATTTGAGAATGAAGTCCTCGCGGTTGACTGCTAACGCACCTGTGAAAAAGGCTCCACTTCATAATATCTTTTTCTCTTGAAATTGAAGGGTTTCCGATCCTTTCTTCGCTGAAGCTGGTGGGCTCACCGAAAACAGAGAGAAGCAATTCTCGGCTCTGAGTTTCACAGTCATGGGTTGCTGCTTTAGTGCGAGTATCAAGTCTGAAAACCCTTCACGCAAGGGTAACATTGCTGTTCTTCCCTACTTCCTCAACTAATTTTTGCTTCATCAGCTTGTTTGTTTGGTGCTTTCGGAGATTGATTTGGCTTTGGTGGTTAAAATAGGCTTGCATTCACGTAACCTAGTCATATGCTACAAATGCTCCTGCTAGTTTATTTGCGTCTATAAATAATAACAATAGATTTTTTTAGGAAGAAGATAAAGAGTCTGTCTATTTTCTGTCCTTTTGTTATCTATACGGTGTACAAATAAACTTTGTTGAAATGAAATACATCCTTCAACCATGGGATGCACGGTAAAGTGTCTAATTAACCTGTCTGATTTCCGTGTAGCCTAGTTTTTACGTTCAAGCATTCCGGTCCCTACAGACTAACTACATAATGAATCATAAAATGGCTTGCAAATTTTTTGTCATTCTCCCTACAATCGACCTATTTATCGGGTATTCCAGTACAATGAGTAGCTTATTTTATAACTAGAGTTCTTATAAATGTTTTGAAAAGTGGACCTCTAAACTTAATGTGCAGTTGTGAATATAACCCATGATAGCAAACAACAAGATGGTTTGACTGGTGGAAGCAACAAGGTCTCCCAATTGAAAATTTTCAAATACGATGAGCTAAAAACAGCTACAAGGCACTTTCGTCCGCACAATATGGTGGGCGAAGGTGCATCTGGTAGGGTATTTAAGGGGTGGCTTGATGAGCAGACACTTGCACCTGCTAAACCAGGCACTGGGATAATCGTTGCTGTCAAGAAATTTAACCAAGAAGGCTTCGAGGGACACAAGGAATTGATGGTGAGTGTAACAAAGTGGTTAGCAGGCCTTGTTTACAATAAGAAATTCGCTCGAAGCATAGATAATATTTTAAGATGCTTTATATTATTTGTTGTTGTCACTAATTAGTCTTATGTTTTAGGCACAGATCAATCATCATCCTAACATTGTGAAATTGATTGGCTACTGCTTAGAGGATGACCATCGGTTTTTGGTATCCGAGTTTTTGACCACAGGCAGCTTGGAAAATCATTTATTTCTTAGTGAGTTGTTAGTCTTTCCGTTTATTATTGCCATTTCGGGTTTATATGTGGGGTAACATTATTTAGTACCTTAAAGATTGAAACTTTCAATTATCTTTTTTTTTTTTTTTTAAATAGGGACATCTTATGATGAACCGCTTTCTTGGAGCAACCGTATGAAAATTGCCCTTGGTACTGCCAAGGTTCTTGCATTTCTTCATAGTGATGAAGTAAATGTGATATATCGAGATTTAAAAGCTTCTCATATCTTGCTTGATTCAGTATGTAAATCCCATTGATCCTACAAGATTAGAAGTCGTTATCTAGACCAGCTATTCTAACATCCCATTTTATTGTCATCAGAACTTCAATGCAAAGCTATCTGATTTTAGTTTGGCAAGGGGCGGACCATCGGGTGATGAGAGCCATGTCTCTACAAGGGTCATGGGAACCTTTGGCTTCGCTGCTCCTGAGTATATAGCCACAGGTACCTTTTAGATTGATGAGTAGTTCTTAAATTATGATCACTTTAAATGGTCATATCCTATGTTGCCTGTAATCCTGGCTCCGCGCTTTCTGTTCTTCATTTGGTATATAGCATGTCATTTCTCTTGACAACCTTCATCAAATGTGTATCACCAGTGTCAACTTCTCATTTCCTTCTTATGTCAATGGCACACACTTCCTACTTCCTGTATTGGAAATAGCAGTTTCTTTTCTCTTTTGGAAAGGGAGGAAAAAAAAGAATAGACATACATAGTAATTCACTTGACACCATGAAGGTTGACGTATCTTCTAATAATATCTTGAATAAGTTATGATGCAATCTCATTGGTGGAGGCCTCAAAACCTGAATTGGCCACTTTAAATTGACTTGGTTACATAATTGCCTGGGAAATATGACGGTGACTGGGATTTGTGTTGTTCATCAAGGGAACTCGTAGAAGCCTGGTTTGAGAGCAGGGGAAATAGAGTTTTAGCATTCATGTGGGAGCTTCCTTGTCCCCTGAATACTGCAAACATTTTCCTTTCTCTTTTGTATTAATTGCTGCTAGCTTGTCATATAATCAATATAAATTGCATAAGAAATGCACAATTTTTAATCTGTGAACAGCGCGGCTCATTTTTCAAAGGCCTGCCTTTTTGGAGTTAACTGTTAACACAATAATTTCCTGAATGGAGGCTCATTCGGCTGGTTGACTTTCAAACCACCTGCATTATTAGGTAGCTATATATCCATGTGAACTGTATCTGGATGTACTTTTGATAAGGTCTACAGTGCAAGTCAAATCCAGAACGTGAACTATTTGATCTTTAAACACATGAAAACATTTCCCTCCTCCTTTTTCTACCTCTATAGGACTGATTAAACCCTCCTTACCCTAGCACTTGATGCACTTTTTGAAACTGTTAAAGTGGACATTTTGAAGAAATTCACAACCATCCTTGAGTTAACAGTGTATAACATAAATAAACTACGCAATGTCATTATCACAAATGCATTCTGTGGGGGCGTGTGGTCTGTTTCAAGTATTTTGAGGTTGCACTGGCTCTATATTGAATTGTTACGTTTTGAGAAGAAGTTTTCGAAGTTCTGTGCTCTTCTGCTTCCTAGTTCATTTCTCTTTATTGGTAGCTTCTTTATTCATTGGCTTTTACCTGAGAATTAAAACTTAAGTTGAAATAATCTTGACATCAGTAATTCAGTACTGCATCTTATAATCCCAGAGCTGACTCACATTTTAACTGCTAATCCTTCTCTATTGTCTTTCTCTGAAGGTCACCTGACAAAGAAGTGTGATGTATACAGTTTTGGGGTTGTTCTGCTTGAAATTCTGTCAGGCAAACGTGCACTGGACAGAAACAGGCCAGCCGGGGAACAGAATTTAGTTGAATGGGCCAAGCCGTACCTTCTGAGCAAACGCCGGATTTTCAAAGTTATGGATGCCCGTATCGCAGGCCAGTACCTGGCAAGCGAAGCCATGAAAGTGGCCAAAATCGCGATTCAATGCCTGTCTGTTCAACCCCAGTTCAGACCGACCATGGCCGATGTGGTAAGAGCATTGGAACAGGTTCAGGATTCCAGTGATACAGGTAGCTCAAGCAGAAGCAGTGGTAGTGTTCCTGAACAACGTTAAAGAAGTACTAATGGATCTTTGAATGGGGCAGGCACTTCTTTGCCCAGATAATCTGATTCAGTGATTCCCATTTTCTGATTAGGTAAATTGATTTGGTTGAACTCATGCTTCAATCCTTTTTAGTTTTTATCGGCTCCAAGAAATAGAGTTGGCACATTGTATATCATTTTTAAGATTAGACGGTTGCTGTTAAGCTTTTTGACGCGTTATATGCCAAACTAGATATCATCTTCTTGGTGAGAGATGGTGTGGGAAAAAAGAAATGCGGTATGGAAGAAAACGGATTTGATAAATAAAAGAGAGTTTATAACTTAAAACGTAACGTTAAGTTTAATATTCTTTTATCAGCCAAAAAAAGAAAGCGTTTAATATTCTTTTCATGTTCGTGAGAGCGACGCACAATTTTTAAAATTTGATTTAAAACATAGCAATTAAATATTTTAATATAAAATTTAGTTTATAGCATAAATTACATTCTAAATTAAATTTTATATTAAAGATTAATGCGAAGCTCAGTTTAAGTTCCGTTCCTCCCCGAATTTATGATTCAGGCTAAGTTTTATAATTGAACTTTTTCTTACAAATACATAAAAAAATTCTTATTTATATACATGTCTCAGTCCCCAAAAAAAAAAAAAAGTTTTTTAAAAAAAAAGTTAAATAACATAAATTTTTTATTCAAGTCATTAAATTTGGCAAACTTCTAATTAGGTCATATGACTTGAAAAGAAATTTTAAAATTTTATAAAATAACTCTAATACCTCTATCATTAAAAATTAAAAGAGAATTCTAAATTAATATATTTTATTTTATAATTAATATATTTTAATTCTAAATTAATAACTTCTTATCTTTATAATACACTTATAGGAAGCTTTTAATAAAGTTTTATTGCAATTCAACTTTAATAATTAAAAAGTTTAATTACGTAGTTAATAAGTTTCAGTTATAAATTAACAGTTTTATCACTCTATAGCACACTTAGAGCAAGTCTTTGAATAAAACTTGATCACAGTATAATCTTAAAAATTAACATGTTTCATTTCACTATTAATATATTTTAATTCTAAATATTTTAATATAAAATTTAATTTATGGTACAAAATATACTACAAGTTAGGTATTATGTTTAGAATTGAAGGTATTACGTGAGATAGCAAGCAAAATAATAGAAAGCCAAACTCAATTTAAGTTTCGTTTCCTCATCTATGATTCAGACTAAGTTTTAGAATCGAAGTATCGAACTCTTTCTTACAAATTCTTAAAAAAATTCTTATTTATAAACTCCTTTATGTCATGACATAGGACTAAATGTCCAATTTAACTATCATACAAAAGGAAAATTATCAAGATATCTCGGGGAAAAAAATTAAAAATTCTTCATAACAAGTTATCTGAACATATTATTATTTTTTATTGCAAAATTATTTATTCTTCACTCATCGATAAATTTTAAAATAATTAAATTCTTTTCTTGAGAGCTGATAATAATTTTCTCAACTAAAAATGGTAGTTAAATAGAAGTTACATCATCAGTAGTTATATTTGAGAATGGAGTCTCCGCAGTCGTTGCCACCTCACCGGTGAAAAAGCCTTCTCCGCACAGTCGATTGCTGCCTCACCAGTGAAAAAGCCTTCACTTTATAATTATATTTCTAATTTTTAATATAAGAACTGATTGGTTAATTTAAATAAATTAAAAAAGTTTATTAAGTTAATTATTTATAATAAATATGTATTTTTTTTTTTTAAAATACTCTTTCTAATTAAGTGTTTTAGTTTTAACATAAAACCTTTAGCATATACAATTACTACAAAAATTATCTTAAAAAACAATAAATAAATATGAGAGACAAATAAACTAAAATTTTATAATTAAAACTCAATTAAAAATTAAACTAATTCTTATAATTTTTTATTTTTAAATATAAGACCCATTACTTAATACCTATCGAGTTCTAAAGATAAGATTTATTTTACGATATAAATAAGATAGAATGACTACTGTATCTTTTATCTTTAAAATAAAGGATTTTCGATCCTTTCTACTCTGAAGCTGGCGGGTTCACTGAAAATTGCAAGGAGCAATTCTGGGCTCTGAGTTGCACGGTCATGGGTTGCTGCTATAGTGCGAGGATGAAATCTGAAAACCCTTCATGCAATGGTAACATTGCTGTTCTCTCCTAGTTCCTTAATTAATTTTTGCTCCATCAGCTTGCTTGGTGCTTTCTGAGATTGATTTGGCTTTGGTTTTTAAAATTGTCTTTTCATTCATGTAACTTAGTCATATACCACAAATGCTCCAGCTAGTTTATATGCGTCTATAAATAGTGGATTTTTTCCTTAATTCTTTGTAGAGGAAGAAGATAAAGGGTCTCTCTCTTCTCTGTCGCTTTGTTATCTGTACGATATACAAAGGAACTATGTTGAAATGAAATAAACCCTTCAACGATGGTATGTATGGGAAAGTTTTTAATTAACTAGTTTAATTTCCGCGCGGCCTACATTTTACGTTCGAGTGTTTCGGACCCTTCAGACTCCTTTCAAAACTAAACAATGCATCATAAATTTTTGTCATATGATCGGGTGTTCCAGTGCCATCAGAAGCTTAGTTTATAATTAGTGTTCTTATAAATGTTTTGAGAAGTGGACGTCTTAATCTGAATGTGCAGTTGTGAATGTAACCCATGATAGCAAGCAAGAAGATGGTTTGATTGGTGGAAGCAACAAGGTCTCCCAATTGAAAATTTTCAAATACGATGAGCTAAAAACAGCTACAAGGATCTTTCATCCCCACAATATGGTTGGCGAAGGTGGATCTGGTAAGGTATTTAAGGGGTGGCTTGATGAGCAGACGCTTGCACCTGCTAAACCGGGCACTGGGATTGCCATTGCTGTGAAGAAGCTTAACCAAGATGCCTTCCAAGGGCACAAGGAATCGTTGGTGAAGGTTACTTTGTGGTTACCTGGGCTTATTTGCAAAAAGAAATTTGCTCCAAGCATAGATGACATTTAGAGGCTTTTTGTTATTTTATGTTGCCGCTAATTAGTCTTGTGCTTTAGACAGAGATTAATGTTCAGGGACAGCTGCATCATCCTAACATTGTGAAATTGCTTGGCTGCTGCTTAGAGGATGACCATCGGCTTTTGGTACATGAGTTTTTGACCAAACGTAGCTTGGAATATCATTTATCTCCAAGTGAGTTGTTAATTGTTCCTTCCATTATTGCCAGTGGGTTGGCATTATTTAGTACCTTAGAGATTCAAACTTTCAATTATCTATTGTTTTTCGAATAGGGATATCTCATGTCGAACCACTTTCTTGGAGCAACCGTAAGAAAATTGCCCTTGATGCTGCCAAGGCTCTTGCATTTCTTCATAGCGATGAAGTAAATGTGATATATCGAGATTTAAAAGCTTCTCATATCTTGCTTGATTCAGTATGTAAATCCCATTGATCTTACAAGATTAGAAGTCGTTAGCTAGACTAGCCATTTTAACATCCTATTTTATTGTCATCAGAACTTCAATGCAAAGCTATCTGATTCTTGTTTGGCAAAGGATGGGTCATTGGATGATGAGAGCCATTGCTGGGCCACGGGAACCCATATCTATGCTGCTCCTGAGTATACAGCCACAGGTATCTTTTAGATTGATGAGTAGTTCTTAAATTATGATCACTAAAAGGGTCATGTCCTTTTTTTTTCCGCATGTAATTCTGTCTCCACAGTTGCTGTTCGTTTGGTATATAGCGTGTCATTTCGCATAACAACCATCATCAATTGAGTATCACTTGCCTTTGTCACCTCATTTCAAGGCCTACCTTTTTGGAGCTAACTGTTAGCAGAATAATCTCCTGAATAGAGGCTCATTCCTCTGACTAACTTTCAAACCATCTGCATTATTGGGTAGCTAGCCATCTGAACTGTAACTGGGTTTATTTTTTATAAGTTTTGCAATGCAAGTCGAATCCAGAAAGTGAACCATTTAATCTTAAAACACATGAAAATATTTCCCCTCCTCCCTTTTTTCTTCCATAGGACTGATTAAATCCTTTTCACACTAGCACCAGCTGATGTACTTTTTAAAACGGACATTTTAAAGACATGCACAAGCATATCCCTGAGGTACGGTGTACCATAAATTGACTATGCAATTTCATTATTACAAATGCATTTTGTAGATGTCTGTGGTCTGTTTCAAGTAGCTAGAATTCGAGGTTGCATTGGTTCTTTATTGAATTGTTGTGTTTTGAGAACAAAACTTCTAAGTTCTGTGCCGCTGCTTCCTAGTTCACTTCACTTTATTGAGAGCTCCTTTATTCACTTGCTTTCACTTAATAATTAAAACTTAAGTTTAAATAATCTTAACATCAGTAGTTCAGTACTGCATCTTACACTGCTAATCCTTCTCCATTGTCTTTCTCTAAAGGTCGCCTAATCAAGAAGTGTGATGTATACAGTTTTGGGGTTGTTCTGCTTGAAATTCTGTCAGGCAAACGTGCATTTGACAGAAGCAGGCTAGCCGGGGAACAGAATTTAGTTGCATGGGCGAAGCAGTACTTTCCGAGCAAATGCTGGTTTTTCCAAGTTATGGATGCTCGTATCAAAGGCCAGTACCTGGTACACGAAGCCATGAAAGTGGCCAAAATCGCGATTCAATGCCTGTCTGATAAGCCCCAGTTCAGACCGACCATGGCTGATGTGGTAGGAGCATTGGAACTGGTTCAGGATTCCAGTGATACAGGTAGCTCAAGCAGAAGCAATGATAGCGTCCCTAAACAACATCAGAGAAGTACTAATGAATCTTTGAATGAGGCTGGTACTTATTAGACGAAGATCATCCGCTTCTCGGTTCTGATTAGGTAAGTTGATGTTACGACTCCACACCAAATGGGCCACGCTGATTCAGAGAGTGGTGCTGCTAAAAGCCCAAATCAGAATATTGGTCTGCGTAGAAGCCAACGGATGAAGAAAAGGCCCTGGATGCTTCGGGAATTAGGAGAGGACGCTCCTATATAATACGGCAAAAACCGTTAAGGGAGGGGGTGCATGATTTTGGTTGTTATTCCCTCTGGCCAGATTCTCTGGATTTCCTCCCTCCTATTGCTTTTCCCCTCCTTTCGTCTTATGTATTTTCTGCTGTACTGCTCAATGATGTGCTGATATGATTTCATTTTGTACTGCACCAGTGATCGTTAATGTATATATATCCATTGGCAGTCTCATTTGGTTTCTATTTTAGTGTTCGGTCGTTATCATTGCAGTTGATTGGATTGAACTCGTGCTTCGATCCTTTTTATTGGCTTCAGGAAATAGGTGATTGCTGTTCATCTTTTTGATTCGTTATATGCCAAACTAGATATCATGTTCGCGGTGGTGGTGAGAGATTGTGAGGGATGAAAAATGTAGATGTGATAGTGGAAGAAAACGAATTTGCTAACTAAATTAAAAAAAAAGTTTATAACATGAGCCATTGAGTCTTGTGTAACGTTAACTTTAATATTCTTTTCACGTTCTTGGCAGCGACACAATTTTTAAAATTTGATATTTTGGCCAAAAAATTGATGTAAACGTTTTTATTTGCTGGAAAATTTTGATATAAACCATGTCAATTAAATTATGATTAATGAATGGATTGTTTTTAAATAGTAATAAAAGAATGGGTTAATACAAACATTGGTTTTTCAAGTTTGTACCCACTTTATTTTTGGTCTTTCAAATTTCAAATTATAAGTTTTGGTCCTTTAATTTTTCGTATTTAAAATATTAGTCTTTATAATCTAATAAAAACTTAGATCATTTTACTCCTTGAGAGAGTAAAACCTATGATTTGAAATATGAGGAATCAAAACAAAAATGAGAATAAATTTGAGAGACTAAAGATTATTTAGTCTTAAAAAAAATTAACAAACGTTGCATGTAAGCACGTCTTTGACAAGCAAAGCAATAGAATACCAGACTCAATTTAACTTCTGTTCTCTCCTAGAATTCCTGATTCAGACAATTAAAATTCTTATTTATATACTCCTTTATTTCATAATATATAGGTCATAGATCCAATTTAACTGTCATACTAGTACAGACTAAGAGTTGTGGCCAAAAAAAAATCATACAAACTTAAAATGGTGGTAGGATAGAAGTTGACGTAAGAAAAAATTTGTTGTCCTTCATAAATTTACCCTTGTCATAGAAAAAAAAAAAAATGCTCTAGATGTTATAAAAATTCTACTTATTATCAGAGAAAAAACTTATATTGTGCATCAGAAGGTCTTTTTTTCTTTTTGGAGATACCATATAATATAGTCTTAAAAAACTCGAAATTCTACCGGTGATATTTTGTGGAGATGCCGTGAATTTGTGATTAGCGTTTGAGGTATTGGCCGTTGGATTTGCTAGAGGTATGAAGTACTCTAATCTTATTTATAAAATAAACAGAGAAGTTTTATTTTGATTCTTAAATTTTTAACATAAATACACTACTTCACATTTTACTATTATTGTGTAGATTATTTTTTTAAAAAGTGTATACATTAAATAGAGGCAAAATTAAATTATCAAATCTTAAGACAAAGTTAATAAAATTTAGGTTTTTCTTAATGTTAATAAAACATTTTGAAAGTGAGTTACCAATTTAGCACCATCTATGGCACTCTAACCACACTTCCTCAATGTTGAGTGCTTTTCATTCTTCCATTCTGTATGAATTGGCAGTATATCCTTGAATGACGTTAATGCTATTTAATGGTGAAGAAATTAGTGCTCCCCGCACTATAATATTAGGAAAATGACAAATAAATATCCCTAAATTGTTAAAATTACGCAGAGGTCACCTGAATAAGCAAAATTACCATAAAGGACTCAGTCCTATATTGCAAATATGAAATCTTGATGAAATGTCTGAAATGCCACTCAGTCAGGTTGTAATTTGGTCTATTGAAATTGTCATTTGCTAAAATAAACTTGTTATTTTCCATAGTCAACTCATTATTTGGCATACCTTCAACCAAGTTGTGATTTGGTCTACTGAAGTTATCATTCCCTAAAGTGAACTTGTCATTTTCTATAGTCAACTTGTCATTTAGCTGAAGTGTATTTCAAACATTTCGTCAAGATTTCATATTTACAATATGGGACTAGGTCCCTCATGATAATTTTGCTTATTTAAGTTACCTCTGTGTAATTTTAATAATTCAGGAGTCTTTATTTGTGATTTTTCGTATAATATTCATGTTATTAGCATCCTTTTTATAATTAAGTTACAATTTACCTGTATAACTTGCCTCTTTTTTTTAATTATTCTCTCTTTTTTTTTTAGTTATTTTTTCTCGCCCAGCCTCTCTATAAATACGAATATATTAAGAAAAAATACATATTCATATATTTATGCCTTTAACCGGCTTCTTATATATTTATGGAATTTAATTATTTGTAACATATGTAGTGTATATATATAGATAGAATATAATGAAAAATAAAGCAGGTCCCTATGAAACAAGACATGGAATGGAGCTATTATGAAGAAGTTCCGAGAGTTACAAGGAAACTTCAAATTCATTCAAGTCATAGGCTGAGAATATTGGAATGTAATTTCCCATTTTGCCCTCAGTGGAAGAGTGGCCACCTATCAACTAGCTAGTCATAAGTTCTAAATATTGCATTGTACTGCAAATTATTATGGGTAAAGAGCAGCCATTCAATAATAATGATGACAATAATACTAAATATAATAATAAAATCTCAACACAAAAGCACGAGCAATGGTTCAACAAGATTGATATAAATGGGTCATATTTCCTTGCATCACCCTTCAATTTGGACCCCATTGTTAATTATTAAATTACAAAATTATATATTATACATTTAATATAATGATATTCCTATCTATTACGATGATTTAAAGTAGACAAACATGTATTAGCTAGTTTAATGGAATAGCAATTCACTAGCCAGAATCTTATAATCTAATAATGTCTTTATGAAATTTTTCTCAAACCTGAGGTTACGAGTTTGAATTCTTTATAAAGGATATAATTGGTAGTAAAAAAAAGTAATTTGCCAAATTTTTTTAACTAACATGTATTTAATGAATTAGAATATACTTCATTGTAATATTCCCACTTTATACAAAATAAAATATCAACAATCTTAGCAAGAACTAGACTTTAGTACTTTTGAGAATTTTACCTACCACATTCCCATTATAATGTGAAATGGACATACTTTTAAAAGCTATAGGTACTGACTCAGCCTCTTTGGTTTGTGAGTTTGCAAATCAAATCTTAATTTCTTACCAGGTTCGAAAAAGTTCAGCCCTTTAAAGACAATTCAAAATTAGTAAAACAATAATGAATATAATTTTTGGTTTTCCATTTAATAGTTTTCTGTACAAATTAAATTAAAATTATATTAATTTATCATGGTCAATTCAATTACAATCCGATTACAGCCAAACTAGTCAGTTTTGAGTGCTGACCTGAAAAGAATAAGACTAATGAATTCCAAATAAGTATATATCAATTCAATAATGATTCATTTAGTTTTGAAAAATTGAAAAGCAGAATACAGATCCACTCTTTATAAGCGTAATTGCAGCACAATGTGAAATTTTAATATGGTTCATGAGTCACCTATAAATCTTAATTAAAACAAACAACATAAAAAAGAATCGTGGTTGGCAAAAAAATAAATGAATATATAAAAAAGGATCATGAATAAGTAAGTATCATAAAAACATATCAAATGTTCATGTTTTTTTTTTTTTTGAAAAAACATTGTACATATGATATGACATGTATTTGATAAGGCTTTACTTCAACCCATTCAATGTCTTCATTTTACCATCTTAAGGAAAAGATAACATCAAATCTGATTGCTTTTGAATTGCACCCCAAAAAAGTTATATTTTCTCGTAATATTCATATATCAGGAAACCAAAATTTAATATGCTTTAATATTTGATTCATTCACGCAAAATCGAATGTCATGAAAGTAAATGTGGAGAAACTCACATTTAATTGATGACTTAAATGTCAAAGATATACGTTTGATTTTTTTTTTTTTGATTATGATATATGTTTGATTTTAATGTTTTACAACATTCATTTGATTTGAAAAAAATTGTAATTTTGGATAAACCTTCATTCAATATAAATTTTGTTTCCCGAAATTACCTGGATATATCCACTCTAAAAAAAATTTATCAAACACAATGTACACAAGGATTTCCTTGATTATCACATAATTAAATACGCTAAAGAATGTGCGGATAATTAGAAGTCTGAAAATAGTAATAATCTCGAAGATTAATTTATACTTTAGGTTGGCCGAAAGAAATTTTATGCGTCACTAAAAAAAATATACAGTTTTTAACATTTGCAGCACAGAACTAGATTAATACATTAAAGAATACACATAGAAACAATTGCGAAAAACCAGAAGAAAAAATAAAGAAACGAGGAGACACGTAAGGTTATATCTCTTATTAGGATAAATGGAAAGAAAGGAAATAGGATAAGATCTCTATTAACCATAATAAGTCCATCACTTGGTCCAAAAAAGAAAGCTATAACAAGTCTATTTTGATCCTAATTAATCACCTCTTTGGTTATAAATACTTGTTAGCACAAATGAAATAGACGCAATCCTAAGTGTGAATTATTGTCTGTATTACGTAAAGATGCCATCTTTCAGAGCTTTTGTTCTTCTGTTCATATTCTTTGCCTTTGCTTCTCTATGCAATGCAGAGCACAAGGCAAAGCACGCATCGCTGTCTGTAAATCTTGAATCTGGATGGCCAATTTCTAAACACTTTTTTGGAGTATTTTTCGAGG